GATCTTCAGAACTTACAACTGAAAATTTGTACCCCTTGACCTACATCACCCATTTCCCCCACTCCCCATCCACTGGCCTCTATTCTCTGCTTCTATGACATTGGCCTTATTTGTTTTTTAGATTCTACATATAATTGACACCATTCAATATTTGTCTTTCTCTGTTTGGCTTATTTCACTGAGCATAATGTCCTCCAGTTTCATCCATAGCATCACAGGTGGCAGGATTTCCTTCTTTATTTTTATGGCTGAATAATATATACACACATACAATGGAATATTAGTATTTTCTATAATATATAATATGTAAGCCACATTTTCTTTATTCATTCATCTATCAAAAGACATTTGTCTATTGTGGATAATGCTGAAATGAACATGAGTGTGCAGGTATCTCTTAGAGATATTGTTTTTAGTTCTTTCATATATATACACCCAGGAATGGGATTGCTAGTTCATATCGTAGTTAAATATTGAATTTTTTGAGGAATCTCCATTTTGTTTTTCATAATGGCTATACCAATTTACATTCCTACCAACAATGCAAAAGGGTTCCCTTTTCTCCACATCCTTGTGAATATTGTTATCTTTTGTCTTTTTTATAAGAGCCATCCTAATAGGTGTGAGATGATCTCATTATGATTTTGATTGGCATTTCTCTGACAATTAGTGATGTTGATCATCTTTTCAAATACCTATTGGTCATTTGTATGTTTTCTTTGGAAAAATGTCTATTCAGGTCCTTTGCCCATTTTTATATTACATTATTTGTTCTTTTGCTGTTGAGTTGTATGAATTCTTTATATAATTTAAATATTAATTCCTTACCTGGCGTGAGCCAAGCTACTCATGCTGCTTGACAAGGTCCAAGTATGGGGGACGATCCTGAAAACAGGAGACTCCACAGCTGGCTCCTGCTATTCTCTTTCATTTTGTTTATGGCAATCTTTATAATTGTGGGAATATTTCTGGGGTTTCATGATAAAGTGACTAAGCAATCATAATGAAACTAATTCCACGAAGAATTAGTTTCTATAGAATAAAATAACAAGACGGTCACGCTCTGTCTAGCACCTTTCTCTTTGCGTACTATTTTTTAGTTTTAGCGAAAGTCAGTAAGCGGAAATCAATAAAGGTCATGTTAATCATTACAAAGGAAAAATGAAAGAAGGCTATGTCTGTAATCCAAAAAATGATCTAAGATTATCTCAATCAATTGTGAAAAAACATAATCACATGTTATGAAAGTATGGAAAAACAAAAATATCCTAACATATAAATGTTTCAATATTATTCCTTTTCCCATGGAATTTGATCGACTCAATGGTGTAGTTATTCTATTACTATTCCAAAATGAATATATTTTTTTAAAAGAAATAAACATCATTATATTGTTTTGTAAGTAAGGGCTTTATTTTAAGTTAAAGTGTTATATGCTATAAATTAATACCTAAATGCTTACTTATATGTAATATGTTTATCTGTAATAACATATAAGGAGAAAGTGTTTTGCATATGATAAATTGGACCTAACAACCAATGACAACTCATAGTAAGTGAACAAACTTCTCAAAAACAACTGGAACTACATGATTTATTGAACACGATGGGATGAAAATAAGACTTTTTACCTTTTCTCCTTTAGTGTTGTACTCAAAGGTCCTCAACATTTTCTATTACAGTTTGCTAAAGTGTGCTAATATATCTCTACATTTTATTTGCAATGTTATTTTATCTTTCTCTTGGACATCTGCTCATACTTCATCCTTTTGAGAATTTTTTAAAGGCTGTTTCCCCCTAAGATTGCCTGCTATAGCTGATGACTGAAAAGATATGTACAAAATAAAAAATAGGAGAAGGACAGCAGGGCTATTACATATGGCCCAGTCACATTAGCTTAGATCAGAAGTGCTTATTCTGTTTTTGTTTTTTTTTTTTTTACATCTTATGTCACCTGGTCTTTGGAATCTGACTTTAGGCAAACTAAGAAAACACAAGTTCAGTGGATAGTTAAAAGGTCACAGTTAAATTTCTTAGGACTTGAATTGAGTCACATCTGGAGGGACAAGCTTGAGTACCAAGTGCCAGTACTAGTGGGAAAAAAGCACAAAACTTTACACATTGTGAGAATTCCATAACAAAAAGGACAACGATTTTAATGTATGATTAAAATTCAGTATTTGTAAAAATGACTACAAAAATAAAACCTCAACAAAAAGAAGGACTTAATGGATAATAAGCAATTCTAACACAACATTTGTGTTGACCTTTATTCAGTAAAATATATTGGTAGTTGTGCTCGACATGATGGAAGGGGTTGGCTTATACTGCCTCGTTCTTATTCTTCCCAATCTTTTTTTTTTTTTTTTTTTTAAGTATTTATTTGAGAGAGAGAGAGAATGAGACAGAGCACCAGAGGGCAGAGGGGGAAGCAGACCCCCTGCTGAGCAGGGAGCCCGATGTGGGACTCGATCCCGGGACTCCAGGATCATGACCTGAGCCGAAGGCAGTCACTCAACCAACTGAGCCACCCAGGTGCCCCTTATTCTTCCCAATCTTGAGTATCCAGCAAGCTAGGATGTCCCCAGGCTTTGCTAGTCTCTGCAAACAATGAGGTCACATTAACATAAATACCTGCATTTTGCTCCTTGGTGGTGTTCACCTGTGCAACTCAGGGGCCTCAACTTTTTTCTGCTCCCATTCAAAACCTCCCTTTTATTTCTAGGATTCTCTAGGAGAGTTCTCCTGAGACCTGAAAAACAAGACCATTAATCTGCTCTTGTTTCTTTGAAGTCTGCTGGTTGTGAGTCACCCACTGTCACTTGCTGGTGCTGTGCTGAGTGTCTCGGTCCCTTCTGTTGCCCTTTCCCCAACTGTTCCACATTTCATCACTTGGGCTTTACTCAACCTGTTTAAGTCACAAATTTCAGCGAGTTTCTCCTAAACACAGCCTCTCCAGCTCCCATCTTCAACCTTTAGCTGTTCTTCAATCTCCACCTTCTATATTCTACCCACTGCCCTTTACATCTGTACGAGCATGTGCATGTGCATAAACACACACACACACACACACACACACACACACACACACCCCTCACGTTCTTCACACAGTTCAGGCACTCAAAAGCCAAACCTCTCTAGCCAAAAGACAAGAGTCCTTCCTCATTTCAACCCAAGCAAATAGGTTTGGAGGAAGAAGAGGAGGGTATGCTCCATGTATTTGCAGTCATTTGCCTGGGTTCCAGCATGAATATCCAACCCGATTTTCATGATATGATAGAAAGGGGAAATCAGAGTGAAAGGGGTTGAATAGGACCAGTGGGGTGTAAAGTAAGAAAATAAGAGAAGAGCTCAGCTTTTGGAGTTTCTTGGAAGGTACAAGGAAATGAAAGCAGCATACAGTACTGGTGAAGAGTACAGACTGCAGGGTTTCAGATCCAGCTCTACCACTTATGGGACTTGGTGCAGTTACTAAAATCTTCTGCACTTAATTTCTCTCATCTCCAAATTGAGAATAATAATAGTATCCACCTCACAGGGTTATGGTAAGGATTGAAGTAATTAATATATGCAAAGGACTACTAAGTGCTATATAAATATTGGCTATTGTTATTTATTATTATTATTTGCCACTGAGCCTACAAATTAATCCTAGATTCTGTATCTTTGCCTTAGTCAGGAGTTGAATTAATCTACATGTATCTGTTGGTTCTGAAGTTAAAATCCACGTCTCTGGATCCAGAGACACTTGTATTCAGCAGGCCATTAAAACAACCCACTCACTCATGCTGTTCTTATGGCTTCTCTGAGCTCCTGGGCTCCAGATAATTCCTGTGTTTCTGCTTCTCCAAGCCTGCTACCTCTGTCTTCCTTAACCAAATCGGCCTTCTGTCTCTGTCATCATGAGTAACTTCTAGACATCTTTTGCCTAGCTGGACTTGTAGTCTTGGCCTCTCTAAGTCAGCCCTCTCCTGGTGTCAGATGTGCTCTGCCATGACAGCATCAGATATTCAGAGACTAGAAACAGATGGATTATGATGAACACGATATATTGTGCCCTCACTCATCTTGGCAACAGGTGGCTGCTCAGCCAGCTGGGGTCTTTTTGAGGACACTCTCCCAGGCCTCCCTCTGACCATTTGCACTCCAGTCCAGATGGTGACATGGCTCCCCAGGGTCCTGAATCAACTTAATGGGAGATGGCAGGGTTATGCTGATTTTGCCTAGGGTCTAATATAGGCATAGAGGTTTTTTTTAAATTTTACTTTCTAATTCAGGAAAAAGGAACAAGCCTTATGTGAAAGTCATGTTCACAATGTGGTTTCAAATTCTGTCATAGGAAGTCTAAATTTACGTGATTAAATTAGCATTCATAAACGCCAAGGGCCAGAAAGCAAATTAATTTGTTTTTATCATTGGAGAAGAATAAAGATGACTTTGGGTAATCTAAGGCATTAGGTTGTTTACTTTGTCTATCTGATTTCCCTTTGTAAAGATTCCTGCTACATAAAAATCATGGCAAACATACTTGTTATTATATATTGGGTACAGGTTCGCCTTGGTAAGAGAGGGAGGCAAGTTGCTTTCACTTAAGGTTAAGACTACTTTACATTATATTCTGGAACTAACCTACTTTCAAACAAATTATGGCTTAGAAGAACAGTACATATTTGCTTAAAGTTATCTCTGCTTATACAGTGTTTTCCAATGCATTTATGCAAGTGTTGATTAAATCCTTCATGTTGCTTGAATGCTTTATGATCATGAATTGTTGGTTAAGGAAATCAAGGAAAAACGTTCCAAGACCAAGGCATAGACATTTTTGAGGTTTAAAAAGAATAAAAATAGTATGGCATTATTTATGACTGGTTGAGAAATTTATAATAACTGCAAAGGATGTAGTTTGTGGACTTTTCCTAGTTAATTTAAAAATCTTAAGTATCGAAAAAAAATTTTTTTTTAAAGATTTTATTTATTTATTTGAGAGAGAGAATGAGAGAGAGAGAGCATGAGAGGGGGAAGGTCAGAGAGAGAAGCAGACTCCCTGCCGAGCAGGGAGCCCGATGCGGAACTCGATCCCAGGACTCCAGGATCATGACCTGAGCCGAAGGCAGTCACTTAACCAACTGAGCCACCCAGGCGCCCCTCGAAAATTTTAATCTTAATATTTAAACATGAATTTTGGAATATCTAGAAGCAGAAAGGTTCTCAGTTCTAAAAGATAAGTTTAAATATATATGTATTTTTCTGATAGAGTAGCATACTTATTATAGATGTATGCTAATCTATGACATTCTGACATACATCTGTGAACCATTAATCTATGTCATAAAAGCTTCGGTAACATTCTTCTCAGTAACACGGCTCCTTATTGAAACATGACAGAATTCTGATGTGGCCTCCGTTGTTTCCTTGTCCATCATCAGCGTTGCATGTGCCTGCTATTTTCCATGTCTAACCCTGGAGATTAAATTCAGTGAATAGGAAATAAAAGTTAGGGAAGAGAGGAAAACCAATGAAGGGCAGAGAAATCAGAGCAACAGCAATAATACTGCCAACATAATCTTCAGTATTTTGAGGATCATATTTTTAAAAAGGTAAAATCATGATTTTCATACAAATATAAAATGAACAGTGTCAAAGATTTTATTTAACTCATAGTTAATGAGGAAACCAGTAAGATGTTGCAGCTGGTTAAAAGGGGAATTTATATTCTCTGTGGGGCATATCTATTTGCATTTGAATGAAGAGAAACCGTTTGCATAACTATGGATGAGAAACTTTTTCATTACTATCAGTTTTCTAAATAGGTTAGTCAAAGGGGGAGATAACCCTAGTTAGTGATTGAGCTAAGCAGAACCCCAATTTCTTTCTTTCTTCTCCTTTTCAACCATTTAGAAGTCATTCACAATTTTTCCTGATATTTGTATACATGATACTTAGGAACTGAATTGTGTTCTCCCAAATTCATATGTTGAAGCCCTAACCCCCAATGTGACTATATTTTGAGATAAGACCTTAAAGAGGCAATTAAAGTTAAAGTTAAAGTTAAAGTTAAAGGTCGTAAGGACGGGGTCCAAATCCACTATGACCAGTATCCCTATAAGAAGAGGAAGAGACACCAGGTTAACTTGCATATGCAACAAAGACCATGTGAAGACACAGCAAACTGGCCATCAGCAAGCCAAGGGAAGAGGTCTTAGGAGACTGTAAACCCACCAACACCTTGACCTTGGACTTCTAGCTTCCAGAACTGTGAGAAAATACATTTTTGTTGTCTTAACCCCCCAGTCTGTGGTATTTTGTTATGGCAACCATAGGAAATGAACACAATTCCTGAATCCTACTATAACATGAGTAGAGGAAACATTTCAAAGAGAGTACTGTTTTATTCCCAAATTAATGAAATTATGGAAACTTAGCAGCTGGCTGACCATAATGCCTATTCATTGATGCCATCTCCCTGCTAGCTCCCACTTCTGTGGCATTTGAACCCCCACTTAAAAGGGATTGTGAATGTCAGGTGAATATCATGAAGCAAAAAGCCTCTCTCTACTTGCTGCTTCCAGAGACAGTTTTGTCTGCCCGCCCAGCACCCTCCTCTTTTGTTCTCCATTTCTCTCCAATTCATCTCCCAGCTTCTCCTCCCTCTAGAAACTTATCCCTTCCCCAGGAATGAAGCAGAGGACAGGCACCAAGGTCTATAGGTTATATCATAATACTAAGTTGTATTGGATTTTATGTTAATTTGGTTTCTGTTTAAAAAAAAAAAGGCAAACACAATCTTGTTAGCTGCTATTCACTACCCAGTGAACCTTGCAGGTCCACTTCGGAAACAGACCTGAGAACAGCCCTACCCCCAGGCAACTTCCAATCATAACTGTTCTGAAAACATTATCAGCACAATCTCAAACTCTTACTGTTATTCGTTTTTTAATTTGAAGTATAATTGACATATAATAACCTTTTAGTTTCAGGTGTACATCATAGTGACTCAATATTTTTATACATTACGATATGATCCCCACAATTGATCTAGTCACCAAATCTATCACCATACAAAGTTATTACAGTATTATTGACTATATTCCCTATGCTGTACATTTCATCCTCATTACTTATTCTATAACTGGAAGTTTGTACCTCTCAGTCCTTTTCACGTGTTTTGCCCATCCCCTGTCCCCCCACCCCCACTGGTAACCAATAGTTTGTTTCCTGTATCTATGAGTCTGTTTCTATTCTGTTTTGTTTGTTCATTTATTTTGTTTTGTTTTGTTTTTAGATTCCACACATAAGTGAAATCATGCAATATTTACCTTTCTCTGTCTGACATATTTCATGCAGCATAATGCCCTCCAGGTCCATTTTATTTTTATTCTTAAAGACTTCACATCTCTTTTGGTACCTGCCTCAAGGTATCAGCATCCTTAGGCCTTTGCCTCTAGGCTCCTTTTTTTTCTCTTCAACTCCTTTCTTATAAAACAAGAAATTTGAAAGCTTCTGAGGGGATATTTCTGAACCTGTAATGCTTTTTGCCTGGAAAGTTTCCACTATAGAAATTTCACTAACACTTAAAAAATCATCATAATGGGAATGGCAGAGTAAGGAGATCAGTAGACCCTAAGCAATTTAAGTGGTGAAAATTATAAAAAAAAATATTTAAAGTCTCTGGAAATTTTCCTGAGGGTATACAGCAAATGGAGAATCGTTCAGAAAAATCTACTAAACCTTGGGTAGGAACACCAGAGTCTATGGTATTTCAGCCACAACGCACTCCATCACCTCCCCCATGTTATGAAAATCTACCTGGTGTAGGGAAGGAAATGGGAGCTCTCTTCTTCCCCAGCTCCCATCCTGGGGCTATAATTGCATCCTAGGAGGGGCAGGCTGCCAGTATTTCTCTCCCCTCCCTCCCCACCAGCTTCAATTCCAGTTAGCCATCAGGAGGACCAGGCTGACCTTACCCCATCTCGCCCCCATTCATAGGGTAGAAACACTGTCTCAGGTGTGGCAGGCCTTGAATCCTGGGAGCATAATCTTCTCCTCCCCAGTTGTCTCATCTGGTATAGGTTCCGCACCAGAAGGGGCAAGCTGAGGAGACCAGAGGCAACCACTCTCAGCTGCATTGCTATGGTGCTGGAGTTCTGCCTAGGGAGAAAGGCAGACCGTTAGGATGAAGAGCTCCACCAGTTGAGGGGACTTACTTTATATGTAACAGATGGAAAAATATATATCATGCAAACATGATAAGAGACCTGAAATGGTTATGCTAATATAAGACAACGCAGACTTTAAAACAAAAAATGTTTCTAGAGATAAATAGGGATATTTTATGATGATAAAAGGGTCAATCCATCAGGGAGATATAATGATTATAAACATATATTCATCAAACATTTGATAATATTAACTTCATGATCCAAGAACAACATTTCTAAAAGATTCAGAGGTATTAACAGTGAACATTAATTCTGACAATTGTTGAGCACTAATATGGGCCAGGAATTGTGACAGCCTTTGGAGACCCAAGTATATAGACTTCTAATCCTGAAGAATTTAGTAGACATAGGCATTAAAAAATTATTAATTTGCTAATGTAATAGGATGAGGGTTCTTATAGAGTATTTAAAGAAAGCATTTCAGTAAAAAGGATTAATTTAGCACAATAATAAAAACAAAACAAATTCACTCTATTAATAAAGTCTTACAAAATTCTTTTACATCATTATTTTATTTGATCCTAACAACTACTTGCTTTTATACAGCTGAAGAACTTGAGGTTCACAAAAGTCTAAAAAACTGATACGTAAATATGTTTACAATTATTGAAGGAAAAAAAGTTGCCCACAGAACTATGTGCATTATGTGATCACATTAAAAATTAAATAAAATATACATACAGAGAATAGGTTTTGGAAGCATATAAATCAGAGTGCTAAAAGTAGTTATTTAGGGATAAATAGGATTGTGGATATTTTTTATTTTATTCCTTTTTATTGTATATATTTTCTGCTTTTTCTTTAATGAACATGTATTGCTTTGGGCATATTAAATTCACAAAACAATAAAGTTGAACCTCTATCTGGGACCATTAACAAAAATTAACTCAAAATGGATCATAGACTTAAACGTAAGACCTAAAACTATATAACTCTTAGAAGACTTTGGAATAAATCTTAAGACCTTAGGTTAGGCAAAGCCTTTTTTTCTATAATGCTAAAAGTGAAAACAAAAGTAACGGAAGAAAAAATAGGTTGAACTTCATCAGAATTAAAACACTGTGGTGTAAATAACAATAAGAAAGTAAAAACACAATCCACACAATGGCGGAAAATAGCATAAAGATCTCTTACAACTCAGTAATAAAACAAAAACCCCATTATATAATGGGCAAAGGGTTAAGACAATTTTCCCAGGAAGCTATACAAATAGTCAGTCAGCACATGAAAGGTATTCAACTCATTAGTCATTAAGGAAATGCAAATAAAACCCCTGATGTCATACCTCTACATACCCACTAGGATGGTTATTATAAACAACAAAAAACCAATAACAAGTGTTAGTGACGAGGTGGAGAAATTGGTATTCTTATACATTGCTGGCGAATTTAAAACAGCACAGCTGCTTTAGAAAACAGTTTGGCAGATTCTTCAAAATGTTAAACAGTTATAGAATCCAGTAGTTGCACTCCTAGATACATACTCATTAGAAATGAAAACACACATCCACACAAAAACTCGGACATGAATGTTCATAGCAGCATTATTCATAAAAGCCAAAAAATGTCAGCAACTCAAATGCCCATCACCTGATGAATGGGTAAATGAAATGTGGTCTATCCATACAATGGGAAGTTTTTTGGCAATAAAAAGGAAGTACTGATACATGTACACTATGGATGGATCTTGTAAAAGTTACGCCAAGTGAAAGAAGCCAGTCACAAAAGATTATGTATTATAAGAGTCTGTTTATATGAAATGTACAGAATAGGAAATCTATAGAGATAGCCGATAGATTCTTGGTTGCCTGGAGATGGGGGTGGAAGGAGCAGGAAACATTGAGGATGACTGTTAATGGGTATAGGGTTGCTTTTAGGGGAGGCAAAGAGGCTTTAAAATTAGATTGTTGCAAAATCCTGTGAATATACTAAAAAAAACCATTGTATTGTACACTTGAAATGGGTACAATTATATGGTATGTGAATTATATCTCAATCAAGCTTTAAAAAGTACCATATCTTTAGAGTGCACTACGGTTAGCAAAGATACTTTCCTAGACATTTCTCCTAAACATCACAGTAACCTTTGTTGCTATTTCTTAATAATTTTAAAGATATTATTTTCAATGAGTTTTTGAAGAGAGGGAACTGAGTTTCAAAGAGTGACTTGTGCAAGGCCATGTTAGCAGAGCTAGGAGGCGGATACTAGATCTGACTCTAAGTCTCCTGCTCTTTCCACTTACCATGCTACTGGTTATATTACACCCGCAACTATCAAATTTCAATATGATTTTTGTAGTTACCTAAAAGTTGTACCTGGATGGGCACCACAATTTTGTAAAACCCAAAACAGAATCGTTTAGAATTATTTGCGTGTGACACTGTAACACTGAATTTGTTTAAACTTCTGTGAGCCAGTTGAAAGGATTACATTTGAATGGAATAAAACAACTGATTTTATCATGAGATTGCCCACATTAATTGCCTAGCTAGGAACTGAGGAGAAAAAAATTTATATAAGTAATAGTCTTTAGATCTCCTTTACTTTTTTTTTAAAAGATTTTATTTATTTAATTATTGAGAGAGAGAGAGAGAGAGAGACCAGGGGGAGGGGCAGAGGGAAAGGGAGAGAGAGAATCTCAAGCACATTCCCTGCTGAGCACAGAGCCAGATATGGGGCTTGAGCCCATGACGCTGAGACCATGACCTGAACCAAAATCAAGAGTCAGCTGGTCAACCGACTGAGCCACCTAGGCACTCCAGATCTCCTTTACTTTTATATGCATATTTAATATGCTAAAATTCCAAAATCAAAGACAAATTGAAAACTGAATGAAAACAATAACAGCTCTCTTAATCCTTGGTCACTCATACGTAACTAGACATTTATATTTTTAGTAAGTTAAAACTTTGTACGTTTCACTCACTATAGATCCAGAACAAATAAATGGCTTTGATACTTTTAATATGGTTTGTGGGAAAGTGCCTGAGACATGGGCAAGGGTTAATACACTTAATAAACTGACTAATACTTTTTTTGGAGGGGTCACACAGGTCTCCTGCTTTCTGCTGTAGCTCTCTCTACGGAGCACTGCATTCTGAATGCTGAAGCACAACACTTGCTGGAATGTAAAATAAAACCATTAGTTCTCTTTGACCCTATTCCGGGATAATTTGACTAGAAATTAATAACTGTCAACTGGAGATATTTTGCTGGCCCTAAGGCAAAATGATGTGTGACTCCTCCTTCAGGTTACTCACAGTGCATACCACATTTACATTCAAAGATTATGTTACTGACTGGAGTGGGGAAAAGGATTTTAATTTGCAAAACAATTATTGCATTTTCTGAGGTCATGAATTTGGTTTTCTAGATGTTTCAGATGTTTTAAAGTGCTGCCTCCCTCAACTGCTGAGTAACAAGCAAAGCTAATGATACGGTTTCTGTGCCTTTGTAATACCATGTTCACTGTTTTACATTTGAACTGGATTTTTATAAAACATTTTAAACAAAATTATCCCATGACTACAATATAAAACAATAACAAGAAACAAACAAAAAAAATCAATGGCAAATAACATTTACCTATTTTTCTTGAATGAGCTGTCATTTTCTTGAAATAAAAAAAAATAGACCCTACAAGACAAATTTTAAATTGTGGTTGAAATTTATTTCACTATACTTTTCTTCCTCTCACATATTTTCTCTTTGTCCTATCCCTGGCCAAAGAACCAAACACTCTTTTTCTTTCTTCATGCACATTCTCCTGTGCTGCTAATTCGTGGCAACAATTGTCCTGAATCTCTAAAAGCTTTGTGGGCATTGTTACTGGAAGAGGGGTATCTTTTCATTTTTTAATCCCACCAAACTCTCATTTGTTGAGCGCCTTCTTTGTGTTAGGAGCCTCCCCTACGTGACCTCACTTATCTCCCAACACTTTGAGGTGCTATTTTCATCTTTACATGAGAAAAAATGAGGCTCAGAGAGGTCTGATAACTGCCAAAGGTCACCGAGCTAGTGATGGGAAGCATTGGAGCCAGCTTTGGTCCCTAAATTCATTGTGTACTTTTCTGCTGCCCTAGTCGACAGGTCTCTGCCCATCTTCAACTGTCCTCATCAAATTGTCATGACGATCGGATAGTCTGGGATCCCGCAGCTAAATTCTCAGGGCCCATGAAAATTTAGATTAATGTCAGCTCAAGGCAGCTTTGTTTTGTGTCTTCATCAGGACTTTAAAAGGACAGGACTTCATCAGGACTTTAAAAAATGAATTCCAGCAGTGCCCTGGAATTCATTTGGATGGTGACAGTGACACCTGAGTTTCTTGGGGGCCTCAGGGATGGTTGGACACTGACAATCTGGAAGCTAAGCAGCTACCTTTGAACACAGAGGAGGATTGTGGTTGTGCTTATAGTAGACATGTGTATCTCTCCCTCCAATTGCACGGTAGCCAGAAGGAGAAATTCGGAGGGGTTGCAGCTGTAGGTAGGAAAAAAAAGTTTGGGCATTGCAGCAAGACATAGCTGAGTTTGCATCTCATCTCTGCTGTTATTTCCAAATGAAATGAGGCAAGTTAGTTCATAGGAGTCTCTTTCCTCATTTGTAAAATGTGAATGGCAGACTTTAGCTCTCTGAATTGTCATGGGGATGAAATCAGGTTATAAAAAGGAGTAGGTAGTAGGCACTCAACAAATGTCAGTTGGCCTAATACTTCCCAGAGATCCAGTGAGGAGGGACAGCCACGGAGAGAGTGCTTGGGTAGATTTTGTACTTGATTCTATGAGACTTCCAGGCTGGCGGCTTGGGACTCAGGTGTAGCTACTAACGCATGACAGCTCTGTGGTGCTTTATCATGTGCCACACATTCTTTCATTATGTCACTTGATTCTTATAAAATCTTTGTGGTAGGGGCATGACTAGCAATTTATACATCTACTATTTAAATTCCATTTAATACAGATGAGGGGACTGACGCTCGGAGAGGTCACATAACTTCGAAAAAAATCAGAGAATTGTTAGGGAGAGATGCTAGGAAAAAAGCCAGGTCTTTCTTCATCGGTGTCTTCATTAGGGGTCTGTCTTGAGAGGTGGGGACATGGTTGTGCTGCAAGGTTTATGGCATTCAGATCGACTTGAAACCATGGTTCCTACTTCTCTCATTCCCCTCTGAAACATGTCTTAAATAAGAAAGCATGCCTTTTAATGGGCAACATAGAATACATTTTAGTGATATTTTTGTAAGCTTGACAATTTATGCTGATTGATTTGTTGTGTCCCCAAAACAAGTATCATTTCTATATTTTCAAATACCATTTGCATTTCTTCTAAGATTTTATACCAGTCTAGTCATCTAATGAATTAAATTTGCATTTATTTCACTTCAGAAAGGTGAGAGAATTTCCTGTTATAAATAATTTAACTGAAAAAACTTACATAAATTGAATTCTTAGCATTTCATTTTAATGGTATTGGCCATGGAAAGTAAACAGCAACCTAACTCGATAGCTTTTTTTTTTTTTTTGCATTTTGTCATTGAAAAGATTTTAAGGTAATGTCAGTTTTTTTTTTTTTAAGTAAGATTGTATTAAGGGAATTGTTCACATGAGCAATTATAGTTTTCTGATTTCATTACACATATCATAAATGATTTCTTTTGGTGTGCACTACTACCTTAAGTAAAGAAAAATAGGAAGAGGATAATTTTTACTGATAAGAAACAGTTAAAAAAAAAGTTCAAATGAAGGTGTAGGGAAGGTAGTCATATACACAGTATTTCTACTATTTCCCTGCTCAGGAAATCAGGCCTGGTAATGAACTTAGATTGTTCTGTTCAATTTCAGCTAGTAGCCATAATGAATCAAATTACTCTATAATCTCATTAATACTAAATAGCTCTCTTTCTAGCTCTTGGTTTCCTAAATAACTATCCATCCACATCTTGGTTAAGGACTTTCCCTAGTGCCTTTAGTAATTAATGTATGGTAGCATCGTTCAATAGCTACTTGAAAAGCCAAAGATCATTTACTGCATTTGGAAAAATCCAATGGATGTCTGACAGGACATGAGTTACTTGCAACTGTCAATCTCTTATGTGGTCATCAATGTACATACAACATGTCAGTTAGATGATCTCTGTAGGAGGAAGTAAGCCTTGTTAATCCCTATGAAAACCAGAAATCGCTATTCCATCATTCCAACTTAATGGCTGATTTTTATGCTGGAAGAACAGTGCATATACATTTAAAGTACCAAGATCTCTGCAGATTCAACAGAATGCTAAGTGAAACAGAGATGCTTTCGTTGCACAATATAATGAATCAGAAACATGAGAAACATAAAAATTTTAAAAACATAAGCCTAAATGTCAGATTGCAGAACAACAGCAACTCAACTTTTTTTTACTATGTTTGATGGGAAAATGTTAGAACAAACTATTGGACTTAATCTTGCAGAGGCCCAGAATCAGATATACTCATTCCTCATTTGTTTCTGCATATTATTAGAATAAAATTTAAAATCCATTTTAAATTTTAATTTCCTTTGTCTACAACAAAGAATGTGTATATGATTATGAGTCGTGATGTAGCTCAGTTCATGATTTAACAATGGCAAAAAAAGTAGGCTACTTACATCAGTAACCCTGATTTTTAATTTCCTTCATAGATAAGTAATGAAATGATATTACATATCTATTCAAATAAAGATTTCAAGGTGAGCTATAAGCAATATAGGTACAGGAAAAAAAAATGTGAAGTTACTTTCTACGTGATCATGATTTTATGTCAATGAGATTTTAAAAGCAAATAATGGAAAATTTTATACTGTGGTTTCTGGATTAGGTGTAATAAATTTGGTCAGACAAGTTTGATTGAAATTTGGCTTTTATGGCTATAGATAGTTATCAGTCCTAGCCAAAGGAAATGCAAAGTTGGGAGTACTATCACTTTGATACTCTTCTTCTAGCATAAAATACTAAACATAATGGCCTGTCTCAGATTACAGATTACTCCTTTTTCTTACATTCTCATAATGCCTTGTTTGTCAATCTCTAATCGAATAGCTCCCTGTATTAGCTTCCTAGGGCTGCTGTAACAAATTACCACTAACTGGGTGGTTCAAGATAACAGAGATTTATTCTCTCACAGTTCTGGAAGCCAGAAGTCTGAAATCGAGGTGGCAGCAGGATTTGTTCCTTCTGGAGGCTCTCAGAGAGAACCAATTCCATGCTTCTCTCCTAGCTTCTGGTGGCTGCTGGCGATCCTTGGTGTTTCTTGGTTTACAGCTGCGTAACTCTGATCTCTGGCTCTGATTTCACATGGCCTTTCCATTTGTGTCTGTGGGTCCTCAAATACCCCTCTGCATTTTTCTTATAAGGACTCTCATCATTGGATTTAGGGTCTAGGATGACCTCATCCTGAAACCCATAATGTAATTATATCTGCAAAGACTTTTTCCCAAATAAGGTCACAGTAACAGGTACTAGGGGCTAGGACTTGGACATATCTTTTTGAGACCCCCCTATTCAACCTACACACTCCCTAGTGCCCTAGTTCCATGAATTGGCTCAAGTCTGACCTAAGTTTCCCAGATGGCAGAGAAATAAGAGAATCAGTGATAATGAAGTTAATTCTTCATAAAGTCAAATGAATTAAATATAATGATCTTTTGTTCCAAGATTACTCTTTCCTAGTTTCTTCTTATTCAAATGTGATGATAATAATAGATAATAATAATAAATGGAGGTTCTTTGGGGGAAGGGAGAGGGCACGTTTTGGTAAAGACCATACTAATGTAATAAAGCTCCTAATCTGATTTCTCTATTAGGACTTATACTTGCCAGTAGCCCAAACTCCAACTATGTCTGAAAATACAGCTGTTGGGTGCTCTGGAGTCATTCATCCAACGTACATTTTTTGAATATTTATTTTGTACCCATTACTGTCCAGCTATAAAAAAGACATTAAATGCCCATATTCTCATGAAGCTCACATTGTAATGACTCACATTTTTTAACCTGGCCATCAAGGGCTAAGAATCATTCTAATCAGCTACAGTGAAAGTCATTTTCAGAGAAGGATTCCAATTGGCTCAGCTTGGTTATGTGCCTTGCCCACCCTTGAACCAATTACTGTGACTGTGAGCAAGGTACTCTGATCAACCCAGCTTGGGTCACATGCCCAGCACTGAGGTCCACATGATAGGCCTATTGCTAGCAGGAGGGAATAGCACCTGTATAAACAAAATCAAAAGATATTTATGACCTTCTGCTACTGGGACACTGAGCATTGCCAGAGGAAATCACAAAACTGTTTTTGTGCACTACAAATTCATGGCATTCAGTCTCAGGTCTTTACTGATAGTCCACGGTCCTTTTGTTCATCTTGGTGTTGATTTTGTGCATTTTTTCACTGGCAACCTGTTGAGACGTTGTGTTTGATGCTGGGGAAATAAAGATAAAGAGTGCGTAGACCTTACTCATAAATAACTTGTGGGCAAGAATCACTTTAAACATTTAATTAAAATATAACATGGTTATCTACCCTCAACAGGGTATGGGAAAAGCGCCATTTGCAGAGATGAAGAAATAACTAACCAACCCTAGAATAGGTTGAGATTCGCAAAGAAAAAGAGAAGTATGGAGTGGGCCTTCCAGGCATAGATAATAAATGGCACGTAAAAAGGCATGGGCGTTTCAAAGGGCACCACATGTCTGCAGATCAGTTTAGGGTAGCTAAGAAAAGGGTGTGTGGTGGGGAGAGTGCAAAATGTGGCCAGAGGCTTCAGAGTGGAAGTTTTGCATGACTTGGATGGCATCTTTTAGCAAGCCTCTTAAAGGTCTCTGCAGCCTCCAGATTCTCCTCTTTTCCACCCTGAGAGTTGTCATCAGGTTATTCTTCTTGAAGTTTGCTTTGGTCATATCATCTTCCTGCTAAAAAGCTGACATAGAAGTAGCAAGGATACTTGAGTTTTTGGTGGGAGGGACAGCCACAGAAGAGAAATTGTTGCTTTCTGTCCAATAAAAACAGATTCTGCCTCAGGTGCCAACTGGAAAGCTTCTTTCCTTCAAGAGGCTGCTGATAACCTACAACAAGTTCTGTCCACACAGTGAAGGGCAACTCACCTTTGACGGGTCTTGGATGACAGGGGTTTCTGTACTGCCTCAAACTCCTCACCAAGTCAGTGTAGTGACCTGAGAAACAAATTGGTAGAAACAATGTGGGATCTCATCAAATTGAAATATTCTTTTTCTTTTTTAAAGATTTATTTATTTATTTATTTTAGAGGGAGAGAGAGAGACAGAGACAGAGAGCATGATCACAGAGGGGAGGGGCAGAGGGAGAGGGAGAGAGAATCTCAAGCAGACTCCCCACCGAGCATGGAGCCTGACACGGGCTTCAAACTCACCACCTTGAGATCATGACCTGAGCCGAAATCAAGAGTCAGATGTTTAACTGGCTGAGCCACCCAGGTACTCTTGAAATATTCTTATAATCTTCTTTTGTGGCATTAACAATTTCAAATATAATTAATCCACGTGGGAGGATCTGAGTTTAGCTGTAAAATCACAAAAGAGGCCAGATTATACAATATAGTCTCCTGAATTTGGTGATGATGTCATGGAAACTCAGCATTCAGAGGACATCTGGAGGTTTATTTTTCCTGGTTTTGCAACCCAAGTTTAACAACTCTGAATTTTGTGGAAACCGGGATACTCTAGCTGGTAAAGCTTATTCAAAGTTGACTTAAATGCTCAAAGAAGTTAAAGCAGGCAGAGAGGAGCATCTTTTCCGAATACTGTTTAAGGACAGCTTGGAATGTTGGGCTCTGATCCTTGTCTGTATTAATCTAGGTTATAGTCTGTCTAGTTGGACTAGATAAAAAATTGTTCAACTTTTTTTTCTCAAAGGATGAATCATTTTTAGCCTCAAATTATAGATGTATTAGTTTAATATCTGTCTGTCTTTTTAGTCTGCATATTCAGTCATATGAACTCAGTGTAATATAGATATAAAATATCTTACTTTTTCTCCAATAATTGAGTTCAGACATCCTCAGTTGAATGGCATTTTTCATCCCTTACCTACAATTGGACAAGTTCCATTGTTTTCTAGTCCTTTGCAGGTTTACAGAGTTCAGTTTAAAGGTTCCATCTCACATCTAGCTCAAAGCACTACCTATCTTCCAACTCAGGGAGTTGGCCTGGGAGGCCAACTTGACCAGGGAGGGAGGCTTGCTAGGGAATGGGGGGAACCTATCCTTTGCTTTCCCCTCTTTTTTGGGGCCACTGTGTATCCTTAGGGTGTTGAGGTCTGGCAAGAAAAATGAGAGAAGATATTAAATAGCACTACTCAATAGTACTACTATGATCCTTTCATAGTTGATGACTTCTATACAACAGGCACCCAAATCCTGGCTTCCCTATAGGATGTATGTGTTTGTTCTTCAAGGGCCCCATGGGATAGTCTCCACTGCATCATCCCTGACAGGGGAGATGGGCTCCTGCAAGACTTCTTCCATCAGCTTTGGATCCCAATGGTGCACCCTATAACCTTCCTTCCATTGCTTGGCTTGGGCTCCTTTGTCTGTCGGATATCCCATTGGTTATCTTCTGTGGTGTTCCCTCCCACCCCAAGCTCAATGATTTTTAAATGGAAGTGTGCAGGCTAGCCCACTAACCCCTCTCCCCAATTTCACACTATTTTACTTTAATTTTACTCTAATTCCTTCCCCGTGTCCACCTAGGCAACCTCATATGCTACATCAGTGGATATCCAATCAAGAATTGAGATGGTAGTCTATTTTCTTTGCAGGCATTTCCCTTACAAGTGGCTTTCATCTCTATCATACTCAAAGCCCCTTTGGTAATAAATACTTTGTATACCCTCTTTTTTTTAAATCATGAAATAAAATTCAGAGATAATAAAATATCATAAAAGAAAATATTTTAACCTTTAAAGAACATAATTTAAGAAGAAGAAGAATTTAACACTATAAAATAAAGGAAAAAGAAAAAGGATGTAATTTATAATAAAATAATAGATAATATATATTAATATGTAAGTGCTCAGGCATGATTGTACTGGAAAACATAATGAAGTAGTCCGATGCTTACAGTTACTTATGGTGAATACTTGGATTTAAGATAAAGGAGCCAGAAGTCAATCTGTATATAGAAAAGAAAATTAAGGGCAGAGAGCAGGTGGACCCTAATTAAAACTAATGGAATGATAAGTAATAATAACCTGGCTTATACGTAAATGGTAAGGAAAAAAGGAAAGAACCTTAGCCAAGGCAGGGATAACAATGCCATGGCAAATTACAAACTGTCAAAATGGAGAAAATTAAGCATTAGCAAATGATCAAATAACACAGAAAACATACTTCCGGACTTGAAATACCACCACATGGGCAAGCATATATTCAGTAGTTTAATGTCTGGCAAGACATGTGAAAGATATGAAGGTGTAAAACAAATCTTCATTGGGTGGGATTCGCCTGGGCATTAAGCATGTCTGGCACCCCTGCCTCCTTCCCATCAAATGCCTGTAGTGCCCCACAAACACAGTAATTACAAAACCAAAACCAAAACCTCTCAAATTTCCAAAATGCTCCCTAAGGGATGGTTCCTCCCTTGTGGAACAAGGTTTAAAAACATTTCTTTTACAACATTAAACCAGACCATCTCATTGGTGCATCCCATTTATGAACTGTTTTTTTTTTTTTTTCCACATTAAGCTTTAACATGATGTCACTGGTCTACCCTGAAACTCAACACTGCATTTTCTACAAATGTTGTATTGGGGATGTTATTTATATCACAAAGGGTCTTCTGTGCAAATTAACGGGATATATTTATTTCTGATCCAATATTGGGATACTCCAGCTTCTCCTGAGTACTATTCACCTTGAGTCATGTATCTAACCATGTTTCTTTGTGTCAGGCAAATGAAAGCTTAGCTTTCTGTCTTGTATCCAGCGAGTTGGCAGAATGGCATAGAATACCTTGTATATACTAGCTTCATTCTTGATTTCTATTTTATTTTCTGCTTTCTTTCCCCTTTTGCTTTTGTCATTTCATGTGGTTTTTTTTTTTTTTTTTTTTTAAATATTTTTTTCCCTGTTGGGACAAAATAACTCAAAACTTCCAGTTTTAAGTTTGCAGACTGAACACATGCCCTAATCTCCTCTTCCTTGCACCAAACCCTTGCATCAATATATAAAACTATATACTGTTCCTAACTGTGGTGGCCCAGGACCTATGAGGAGAGAAAGGGATTAAAAAACCTGGGGTCTTTGTAGGTGATATCTACCCAAGAAAGCACCATAGGATGTAGAGCCCAGGGATAAGGGGCATGGTACCATGGGAAGGACAGCTGCTCAGATTGATCTTTCTTTTTTTTTTTTTTTTTTTAAGATTTTATTTATTTTTTAGAGAGCGAGCGAGAGAGAAACAGCATGAGAAGGGAGAGGGTCAGAGGGAGAAGCAGGCTCCCCGCTGAGCCGGGAGCCTGATGTGGGACTCGATCCCAGGACCCTGGGAGCATGACCTGAGCCGAAGGCAGACGCTTAACCATCTGAGCCACCCAGGCACCCTCAGATTGATCTTTCAATATCTCAGTATGATCTCATATTCCATACCAATTTGCTCACATCACCAATTGGACTTTGGTAATGCAAAATATTATTTTTGCTTGGAACTTGGTATTGAAGCATCAGGGTCACATGGTTCCCCAGTGGAGGCTTGTGCAGAGATTACTGTTCAGATGTAGTAATAAGATCTGTGTTCTAAGGAAAGAGCGGTGTTCTCTGTAGGTTTTCATCACACTGACGGTTCCCCTGAATTGCCATTATGAGCTGCTCAAAGATAGCAATCAATAAACTATACTTCAGTAACAACAAAATTAACTGCTAACATACAGCTTCATACTAATGAGTATTTTGCAGCATATGTATCCTATAAGCCACCTTAAAATATTAAAGTGGGTTATAAAGAATCTCAATGGTGTGATTATTAGTCATATCTCTCCACTAATGCAACCGCATATCATGGTTACATTTTAATCATCTTCCTCCCTCTTCTTTTTAAAATCCTTATTAGCAACTCAGCATTTCATCATTTAAATTAAATGTTTATTCTAACTAGTTTATTTATTAACATTGAGTATAAGTAATTTTAGGTTTACTCTGAAATTAATAATTTGCACTGAGCTTAAGTCAACTTTCCTATTCTTGAAGCATTGGTAAGTCCTGATTCTGCAAGATGTTCTGCAGAGAAATACACCTCTTCCTAGTGAATAATAATATAATAGTATGCTGTCTGTCATATACTAAAATGATGGAATTGACCAACTGTCAGGAAATGTTCTCTGAAATCTTTTGTAGTTATCATGCTGAATTACTCTGCTGGCTGTTGTTAGGGATGCAGTCTTGTTGTAGAAAGAGTTTTCTCTCTATGAAGTTAATTGGCTCAGGTAAGAATGCAACTTTAGCCTCATAAGCATCATACCTTCTAACCAAGTGAATTGCTTAAATAATATTTATTATTATTATGTATAATAACATTTTGTTTATTAAAAGCCTGATGCCAACTGTTTTCTGCATAGTGTTAATTTGTCTCCAACTGTCTTGGGATTTAGGGAAGAGCCAGCGAAGAGATAGAAGAAAGCTGGAAAACAGAAATGGGTGATGGGATGAAGTATAAATTAGCTTCAAATATAGGCATTGAAATTCATTCAAAAGATTTTCTTCCTGGTTTGAAAAAAATGTTGTGTTGCTTTCCTTGTATGAAAGATAAGTGATTAAGCACTTAATGTGGTGATATTTGAAAACACAACTGTATTGCTTCTTCTGTTTATAAGAAGCATGACATTCCTCCTCGGTAGCTGGGAGGTAAGTTATTGTCTCCCTAGAGAGATCAGGAACATGAATGGTTTCTTTTGTGGTCTTCGGGTTTGGAGGTTGGCTGTCTGATTGTCCAGTACTTCATGATGTGCCACAAAAAAAGGGATCAGAGAAAGAAAGGCTGGGTTGTTGTTGTTGTTGTTGTTGTTGCTCTGTGTTGTATTCTGTATTGTGTTCTGTATTCTGCTGTTTTGTATTGTTTTGTTTGGGGAGGGGCAGAGAAATGAAAGCTTAGCCTTTCAGAAGGCAGGAGAATTCCTCAGAGAAGAGGCCAAAGGCTGACTGCCCTTTTGGGTGGTGGACACCAGGTCTCACCAGAAAGCAGAGCCTAGAAGGTGCCATAACTCATAAATGACATCTGTATGGGTCTCAGGGAGGGCTGTGCACTAAGGATGGTCATATGGGGGACCACAGCTGAAGTGGGCAGTGATGACATGGATACTAGCTGTAGAGTGGTCCACCTTTGCACGTGGATGAGCATGATGAACATCTCAACTGTGACCAAAATCTCTCCTCCTCTATTTCCTTGGGATTCTGTAAGCTCAGGGGAGCTCGGGATTCTGCAATCCTCCTAAGGGAGGGAAGGGAGCCATTTAAAATGACTGACATTGCTGACCATAGCAATTGTGGGTCCAGAGGTAGATTTGATTTGA